TCCCCTTCTTGCTCTCCTTTTACTTTCTACTCTGCAATGAGATTCTGCCATTCAAATCACAACCAGACTTTAACTTCTTCAATTGTTCCTTCCAAATCCATAAATAGAAACCTAACTCTTTCCCTATTACTTGGCATTCAATTAACAACAAAATCCTATTACTTGTCAAAAAAATTCTAACAGACTTCTTCTTTCTAAAATTCCAACATCAAATTACAAGCCAAGCCGAATCAAATTCCTTTCCATTTATAAAGCCTACAACTCTTTCTTCACTCTTCAAAATGCTAAAGTTGCATGAATTTCATAACATTAACCCACCACAAATAATCATGGTTAGTGTAGACAAAGGACTCTGGTCCTTGCCACGCCCTAGCCTCATACATAATTATTAACCGTAAAATGTCTTGACACGTCACCTAGGGTCTTCAAGGAGGGTGTGGTTTGGTGGGCAAAGAGGGAAGTGCTGGCGAGGAATGGTGTCCTCTTTACACCCACGGATAACCACTTCTAATTAGCAGTTATTTACATACTTGAGGAGAGAAGTGAAAAGGGGGTCAGTGGGACACATGTCATTTAGGAATGACACGACTCTAGACGTCTGTCCCCATCTCATTGGTTGTCTTTCACATGTGTATAGACCTCATGTGTGACTTCACCTATAAACTCCCCTTCTACTCACAAAATAGAGGGTCCTTTCCCCTCTCTAGAGAAGACCCCAACTCCAAGAGTATAAGATGGTCACCCTCTCCTCTCTCTCTCTTTTTTTTTCCCAGAAATTTACTGTCTCTCTCTTTCCTCCTCAATTCTCACCCCTTCCTTGTGGCCATTCCAGAGTGACGTGGAACCCTCTATAACAAACCCCTCTTCTACAGGTAGCATTATTCTCAATTTCCTAGTCTTGTTGCACATCATGCATTCCACGTCATAAAGATAAGATAGCAGCCACAATGTAAAGATAAAAGGAACCAGTTGAACTACATGCTAGAAATGCAGAGAAAAACTTTAGTAACCATTTGCTTCTGAAATGAGGAAAACCATGTAGATGTGCCAGAGAGGGGGAAAAAAATATGGAAAAAGATACGGAGAAATGGTAAACTGCATTGGCAAACTAAACTTACAACCTCAAACAACAATTGTATCTAAAAAATTACCTCTGCCCGATCTATTCTTGTTTCCATGTCGCAATTCAAAACGTGCTGCCTCTTCAAGTTTTTTACAGGGTTCACAAATTCGTACTGGTGAATCACCTTGTCCACGTAATAAGATTCTTTGCTGGGTACAACTATTGCAAAACAAGCCCCCACACCTACGGCAGTGGTGCTGAAAATAAGAAAACATCAATAATTAATTAAGGTTAAAGCAAATAACTAGTGATTATAAATTTCAGTGCCAAAACAAAATGTATTTCAGCTTGGCATGAAATATAAGGGTTCATATTTAAAAACAAATTATCATAAATCTGGTTTTCTTTTATTTCCTCTTTAGAACACAACAATACAAGACACTTATATCATATGGGTACTTATAGAAACTTATTAGCAAGTTCTTTAAATTGGATTGAGACCCAAAACTCCTTTAAAATATATATATATAAGTATGATTGCCTAACAAGTTACAACCCTGCTAATCACTGAATTTTCTCAAACATCAATAGATGTCCACAAAACATCATTGTGTATTATCTAACGAGAAGATATCATAGTCTCCAGTAAGTAATCAGTGAGATCCATATAGCCCGAGTATAATATTTAACAAACCCAATTCAACAAATTTAAACCTAAACATGGTAGTCTATTAGAACAATAAACCACAAAAGAACCAATTTAGAAAAATGGGTCTTGAATAAACGGGACATAAATAAATAGTACGCAAGTAAGAGAGATGATTCATCAATTTGAACCTGGTCATAATCATCAATTCTGAAATAAAATCCAAAATAACAAATTCTGAGAAATGGATTGTAAAGAGAAGTAGAAAGTAATCGTATAGTCGTAAGTAAACAGATCAGAGAGAGAAATAGAGATACCTTGCGATTGATGAATGTGAACTGCGAGGAACATCCTTGACAATGTGAGGCGTCAACCACCCAATTGTTCCCTCTCAGGGCAGGCTTTGGCGGCAATCCGATCTTCTCTAACATCCTTGCTATCTCCACCAGAAAAAGCAAAATTGAATACAAATTATAGAAACAGCAAGGGTTATTTAAAGATTATGGAAGGTCGTTTCTTTGAAATTTCAATCGGTCGTTGCTTCAAAGGCTAGACAAAGAAAATTGATAAATGACGAACGGTACGAACTGAAATTATTAATAATTTAAAAAAAGAAAAGAAAAAATGGAACGAAGCCAATTAGTCAATAAATTATTAATGGAGAGAAACGACGGCGTATAGAAATACGGAGCATAATTGTTTGCAAGGACGAGACCTTTTTCAGGATGGTGAAATACCCGTCTCATCGGGTACCCGGTCCGTCCCACCATGACCCATTTAGAATGCTTATGGGAGTGATTAAGTAGTAGTTTTGAATGAAAAGGGGTTAAGATTGAAAATTCATTGTTTTAGGCTGGCATGAAAGAATAGCCCTTCAATCATATCTTACATCATTTATACCGATGAATTACAATTCTATTTTTATAATTTATTTTTTATTAAAAAATATTAAGTTTATATAAAACAAAACATAGGTTAATCCAATATTTCAATAGCTAGATATACTTTTGTATTATTATTATTTTAGAACCTATATATATTATTGCGATGTTACAAGAGAAAAATAATTGTTACCTCTTTAAATTTGTAATACAAGTTTAAAAAATATTCTCTATTTTTTAAACTCATGCTCTGCTTAATAAACAGTTGTGGACAAAAAATATGACAACTCTGTTAAACGAATATAGGTTTGGGGTCCTCGCTTCATTGTCGTCCTATTAACATAGGTGTTGTCAACACCGGTAATCTATGAGCTTAAGCTTTTGAGTTTTTTGAGTTTTAATTTCATAGTACTTTGAAATCTCTATAAAATCATATTGTTTACATAAAACAACGTAAAAGTGTGATTATATTGTCATGAATAAAATTTTATGCTTATTTGATTATTAATTTAGATATCAGTTAAAGTGAAAAAAAAAAATCACCGTAATAGAAAACACTTCAAACAAGTATAAAAGAAATTATCAATTTTAATTTTCACTTACAACTTTAACATCTAAAATTCAACTTTTAACTCTTTTTTATTTATGCTTAATTTTAATGCATAGTTAAAAAGAGATATGTTTGGCGCGGCAAGAACAACTCATCAAATTGATTTTTAAGATTGCATATGCGGGTTGTTTTTTTTTTTTTTTTTTTTATGGCAAAAAACATCCTCTTACTCACACACGCTTTTTGTTACCCACATCGGTGCGGATTCCCCCTCCTTGAGGAACAGAGCCAAAACATGGTGTAAGGGGGGGCTATAGTGTAATTTTTTTAATAATTTCAAAGGGAGCAGTAGTTTAATTTTATAGGTATATATAGGGGCGGAGCCATAAATTAAATTTAGGGGGCACATTGTAAAAAAAAAATTCAATAATCACGACAATAAATATAGATTCTATAAATCAAGAAACAAAGAAGAAAAATTAGTCAAAATAATATGCAGTAATTTAAGAAAGATAAATAGTTAACAAAAAAATTTAGAAAGGAAAAAAAAAAAAAAAAAAAAATTGGAGTTTGATTCAAAAAGGAAATTTTGACTTTTTTAAAAGAAATTAAACGAATTTAAAGAGTAAAAAAGTGAAAGAAATACAAAATTTAAGAGATAATTTTAAAAAATAAAAATTTAAGGAGGGGCATTATCTGGATTTTTTCATATATACATGTAATACATGTAAAAATATATAAATTAAGTATATGTGAATGCCAGGCCAGGAGGGGCACGTGCCCCCAGGCATACACAAGCTCTGTCCCTGGTATATTAACAAAAAAAAAATCAGTTGGAACAATTGCCTCCACTTACTTGTGAATGCCTCCGTTCTTGCCCCTCCTCTTTGAAGATGGAGAGATTATAGATTATATTATTTGATCTTTGTTGGTTATTCAAGTGACTACTTACATGAGAAAATTGATGAATATGATTCTCATTAATTTCTGCATTTACGAGAAATTTCCATGGTCCAAAACCTCAAAAGCCCATTCAACTTTAAATCTAAAAATAGTCCTATAGTTTGTTTTATTTCTTCAAACATACTGTATTGTGCGACCTGAGACCACCTAGCTTTGTGTTTAGGGAGAACCATCATCACCTTGTCACTGTATGAATGAAGGTTGGCTCAACGGTCCTTTTGCTTGGGTGGCCTGGGTATCTTGCATTGGGCCTTCTTTGCCCTCTTGCCTTAACCCTTTTTGTACTGTACTTTTTTTATTTTTTTATTTTTTTATATATAAGTTGATTTGCCCCAAAAAAAAAAAAAAAAAAAAAAAAAACACACAAACAAAACTCTTATAATTATTCCAAAATCAATTTTCAATTTTTTGTTTTTTTATTTTTTTTATCCTGACAAACAACTCCCACAAAACTGCACAATTAAAGGGAAATTCACTTTTGAACTATTGAACAATTAGTTAAATATGAAAGAAAGAAAGAAAAAAATTGTTTCACATAAAAAGAAAAAAGAGGAGCTTAAATAGTGTTTTAAATTTAGAACTAGGATTTGTCCTGAATTGAAGGCAAAGAAAAATGAGTTACTGATTACTTATTTTTATCTTTGATTTTGAAAAGATCTTCAATTTTGAAATAATTGATATTGAGTTTCCTTTATTTTGGGATCACTGAAATATACTCTTTTTTTTCATAATTAAAATCAGTTATATTGATTATGTTGTTCTTTCTATGTGGAGATGAAATTGTGGAGATTTGTTTTCCCATTTGCTTTCAGTGTATAAGCCACATGTACACGGACCTGCGCCTTCAATAACGCGACACGCGCGCGCACACATATATATATATTGTAGTCGTTGATATGCAATGAACAAAGAACTATTTTATTTGGATAATAGCACATATTTTATTATATTGACGTGCAAGCATTTGTAGGTGAAAGCTTAAGCACTGTTTAGCAGCAATTACATCTGTTAAGGTCTTCAATTCTGCAATAGCTCCTTAGCTTTGAAGTAGGCCACGGATTGGTCATAAATGTCTTCAATCCCGTACTTAAAACTGAATCCCTCGTTGATAAGTTTTTCTGATGAGATGATCAACTTGGCTTTAGAGGGGAAATCTCCAAAACTGCAATTGATAAAGAAGACGAAGAATATGTTAAACTTGTTTCATTTACACCACAATTCATAGACACTAGTTATGAAGTGGGCTTACTCAGTAGGGACTTTGTATTGAGGGTATCTTTTATTTAGGAACTTTGCAAGCTCAGGAACACTTGTATTAACAGCACAACAAATGTAGCGGCCAGAAGCTGATTCTTTCTCCGCCACAAATATGTGGGCACGGCAGACATCCTCAACATGTGAAATGGAGATTGAACCCGACAGCATCTGCATACCTTTCAGCCCGTTGATGAGGAACTCATTCCCTACAAAACCAATTGAAATTCATTTCAGACATCCTCTGCATTATGCTCTTGTATTTAGTTGATTAAACTACCTATGTATTTCTGGTTCTGATTTTACACCTGTGATTAAGGACATGCCAAGACCGATACTACTAGGGACGTCTGGAGTAAGTGAAGGACCGGCCATGAGAGTAGGAATGACCGTGATGAGATCAATGTTGTTTTCTTTGGCGAACTTCCAAGCTGCTTTCTCAGCTAGTGTCTTGGAGGCAGGGTACCCCTGCAAATGCATATAATTTTACTAAATCATCTTGTTATTTTGTTTCTCAGCACTGGACTAGCCCTTTTATCTTGTTAATTTGTATCATGGATGTACTAAGTTAAAAAATCAGGAGAATGTGAAAATTTTGGATTCTAATTACCCAAGTAGGTGGCTTCACTGAAGTCAGGAAGTCAATGTCAGTCCAGTTCTCCTCATGCATGACCAGGCCAGTTCCATTCAGCTCATTGATGCTTACAGCAGCTGCTGATGATGTTAAAACAACACGTTTCACGGTTCCTGATTTCGCACAGGCTTTTAAAACGTTGACTACTCCTTGGATTGCTGGCTTTATCATGTCATTCTGCGTTCCAAAATGTGCAATCATAGTCAATTTAATTGTGATATTGGTTTTGTGAATCTGTAATTACTTAATTACCTCTGGATCTTCAGAAGCGAAGTTGACTGGGGTTGCGACATGGAAGACAAGATCACAACCTGCTATAGGAGCACCAAAGCTTGCTTCATCAGTTAGGTCTGCTCTGAAGATCTTTAAGTTGCCCAAACTCTCTAGTGATAGGAGGTGTGAGACCTTTTTCTGATCATCTGCATTAATTATATGAAAATATGTATAAACATAGTGGAACACCAGCAAGAAATAAACAAGAAAAGAAAATAAAGGGAGTTGGAGTGAAAAGTGAATTAAGGAGAGAGTAGCTAACCAGGGTTTCTAACAGTTGTATTGACGGCATAGCCTTTCTCAAGCAATAGTTTGACAAGCAACGAAGCCACGAAACCAGAGCCTCCAACAACACATGCCGTCTTCAGTATCAGTGGTTGGGTCGCCATTAATGCGAATTTTTAGCTCTCTCTAAGACGGATGGTAGTAAAAGTCTGATGATGAAAAAGAAAGATACTACTAGATCTATATATACAAATTTCACAATCCAAACACTATGAAAGATATTTAAGGGCATACGAACAATAGAGCAAACAACATAAAATAGCTGTTACGTTTTCATCTAATTGAATTGGAAGGAAGAAGGTGAGCACGTGAAGTCAATATACACCTAACAACTCTTATTAGTATTACCTTCTCGTTTTTGGAAATAATATAGTAGAAAACCATTCAGGAATTTATTTGACTGTCCATTTTTGAAAGCCAGTTGCTAAAAATACTGAATTGTGAAAAAAAGTCAGATCTCGAAGAATAATTTTCGCCAGTCTCTTCAGACCAAATATCGTATTCTTGGAATTTTGAAATTTGCAGTTGACTTTTGACAATCCATTTCTTCCTTGCCTTTAAAATGTTTACTTTACTACTATATAATTTTCCACTTATTATCTAAATCCAAACAAATATAAAGTTAATATGATTAACTTGTGTACATGCGTAATTATTGGGACACGAAGGCAATTGCTATTTAAGGTTTCTAAAGCAAGGAAGTGTTTGGTGGATTTGCACGTAAGAGGGGTAGTTGGCCAACTTAGTAATGTGATTCCTCACGTGCCATTTTTGCATTTAGGTGAGAATCATGAAATGAACATGTTTACAGAGTAGTTGATTGATATATATATATATATATATATATATATATATTCAATTTAAGGGCACGGTGTCCCGGTGAAACAAAATTAGAATCTAGGCGTTACAGGACTCAACAAGCACTTCAATTAAGGTCCAAAATGTTTGCTAAAAAAAAAAAATTAAGGTCCAAAATATTCACTTCAATTAAGGTCTAAAATACTTATTGTTTCCTGTACACCAAAGTGTCGCAACATTCACAACACATGATACTCGAATGTCAAGTATCATTCTAGGACGTCATCTTAAATTGCATCTGGAATTAAAAATTTAAATAATATGTGTTGATTAAGGGTTCGTTTGGTTTGGATTGTAAGTGGCTTTAAACCTTGGGTTAGGAAATTAATGAAACTACTTTTGCAGCAGAGAATAAATTTAAGGACAGGAATGGATGAAAATAAAAGAACCCTCCACATAGTCTGTGGATAGGATGAATATCGATTATTTCAGCTAGATAATGCAAATGACAACAAATATTTTTCCGTCAGAGTCAGTATAATATAATCCAACCTGTGTCATATTATATAAAATAATTGACATTCTATATGAAATAGGGTATTTAGCTTGAAACAATGCAATAATATGATATGGGATTTCCAAATTGTAAGTTTGTACAGAGTCTGTAACAATGTAACACAATAAACATTTGTAATTTCTTTACAGCAGCCATGAACTGCAATAGATGCAACAATTACATCTCAGACAATGACTCCCTGCCTCAAACTAAATTCAGAAGTAAATAAATAAATTCACAAGAAAATCTATAAAATTTTAGTGGAAATTTAGAATAATAAATTCTTCCCTGAAGTGCAAAAACCTACTTCAGTTAATCTAACAACTCACACTCCTTTTCAGGGTTTCCAAAGCACCACAAAGCGAGGAAGGAGAGCTCTCGGGTTCAATGAATAGAGTTCTTCAACATTTGGTTCGAGGCCTACTTTTCCAGCAATAGAATCGAACCCTGTATACCCAGCTAATTCTTGAAAATTCTCCATATGTCCATGGACTCTACCAGCAATTACTCTGCATATTATCAAAGCACTCCTTAAAGATGGACGACTATCATCATATAGTCTGATAGATTCCAGTGCTCTTATACTTGTGGAAGTAGTGAAAACACCTGTGAGTACTTCCTTTTTTATGGAGAAACCATGTCTTAAAATTCGACATAAACAACATTCATGTGATGCACATAGGCTATACGAGCCATTTGATTCAAAGGAGCATTCAACATATGTGCCGTAGAACCTTAAGAGCTCATTCCCATCGGCCAGGCAACGCTGATTTTTCTTCGACTGCTTGCTTGCTTTCATCTTCACCATTTCTCTATGTTCTTCAAACTGATCTACTGTTTCTTGCATGTTGTGGACCTTTAAAATCTTGTCTATATGCCCATAATTGTTGTCAGATTCTGGCCAACCCTTTCGAAAAATCATCTCTACAATCCTCCGAGATGGATCTCCTTCAACAATTTCAGTGACTGCATCAAAAGAAAGGACACTTTGACATCTCTTAAAAAGCAGAACGAATTCAGCATTTGAATCCATCTGAATGGTTTAAAGGCTAAAAAAGGGAAATTTGAATAATAGAACCAACAAAAATAAAATCCAATAAAGATATATATGTCAAAGGAATATATAATAGGCTCCTCAGACTCTATATATACTCAATTTTGTTAAAATTGATAATTATAATTATAAGGAGAATAAAAAGGAGACTGTCAAATCAAATGACAATGATTCCAAATTTGGGAACTACATTTGACATAAATTTCATTCAAGATTAATATAATGGTCACAATGTATGTAAATAATAGCAATGGAAGAAAATACACTAAAACTAATGATATACAACCTTCAACAACACATATATGAATTTAGGGGGGGAAGAGGGGAGATTTCAGTAAAGGGTTTCTTTTACCAGCATGTGTGGAGAGACGATGTGCTTCAACAGCTTCCATTGTTGCAAATTCTTGACCACATTCATGGCAAGTGAAAATTGAGTAACTACGATAATCTGTCCCAAAAAGTGCCTCAGGGTTTTCAGGGGTGGTATTCCCATATCCAGAGCCTCCCCTCCTGTTTGGTGCCTTTATCAGAGAGACGGATGTCCCTCTGGGTTTTTTATGGGGCGCTATAGGGCGCCGCCTACGGCCAGGTGTCCCAGGCTTAAAGGTACCCCCAATGGTTGAACCACCACTGGTACCCTTATTCCCAGTAGTACTCTCAAGTTCAATTTCAAAAGTTGAATCACTGAGGACTACTTCATGGGTTATTGGGTTTAAAAACTCACAGCTCCTAATAGACCTTGGACTACAACTTGGTTGTTTTTCCATACTGTGCCTCTTACTTCCTCCATGGATGACATCCTTGAGATCCGAAATGGTCATCGAACACCCAGACCTGCTTGGTTCTCTTGTCAACTGATTGCCATTGCCATTGCCATTGCCCTTTGGATAATGAACATCTGGTGGTTCTCTTGTCAACTGATTGCCATTGCCATTGCCCTTTGGATAATGAACATCTGGTGGTTCTCTTGTCAACTGATTGCCATTGCAATTGCCCTTTGGATAATAAACATATTGTTCTCTTGTCAACTGATTGACATTGCCCCTTGGATCATGAACATCTGATGGCTTTGGTCTGCATTGCAGTGATCTCTTCAATTTAAACCAAAATGCTGGCATCCTCTTTCAAACTTCAAAAACTCTATTCTAAAATTCTCTTCCTTTGTTTGTGAGAAAAGCTTTGTTATATAGAGAGAGAGATAGAGCACATCTATTTCCATTTTTATATAACAGCTACACACAATAATGATAATAGGAAAGCAGAGCAAACCATCAAGGAAACTAGTTCTCTCGTCGTATGGTTGCTGTTTTTAAATACAAAACTCACCATATCTGCTATTTATTTCCTTGCTCAGATCAAACCAGTTTACATATACATAGAAGATATAATCTTAATTTACTTACCCAAAAAAAAAAGATACAATCTCAATTTATAGCAACTTTAAAAGGTGTTTCTGGGGAATCAATGAAAAGATACACCATCGTATGAAAAGTCTTATTAAAATAATTGAATTGAATGACAAAAAAGTGACTGATATATATATATATATATAATTATGTATAAGGGACCTGGAAAAAATATTCTTCCTGACATTAATAAACGACTAAGATGGCATTGTATAAGGGACCTGGAAAAAATATTCTTCCTGACATTAATAAACGACTAAGATGGCATTATATATATATATATATATATATATATATATATAAAAGTTAAAGTTAAATAAAATGTTATTCACCTGTGGGGCCCACATGATTTATAAGTCAATATAATGACTTATTTCTTCTTCTCTGCGTATCAGCTTCTCTCTCATTCCAGAAGCTCTCTAGGCTTTTTTTCTTTTTATGGTTTCAAGCTTCAAGGCTTAATTTCTCTCTCATCTCTTATCGGATTAAGGTGCCGTTTAAGGCAAAACGAAGCCCACGACGAGCTCTACGCATCCATATGAACAATTCCAGATTTAATACCACGTCTACCATTTTCATTATAAACTTTTAATTATTATCTTATTTAACTTATTTACTTCTTTTTTTCTTTTTCTTTTTTTCTCTTTTCACAAAATCCCCTACTCTTTTAAAGCATCTCCAGCAGTATGTTAAAATATTCTTTTGTGTAAAATATACACTGCCATTTATGATATGTAAATTTTTTTATCTGTCACTAATATGTAAAAGAGTAATGATAGTTGCACCGATTTGTTATAGTGAATTACCTAACCGAATATTTCTGATTAGTTATTTATACACTATACATGTAAGTAGAGGGCCCCACTTCTTTATATATGCAATTTGTTGTAGTGAATTGTCAGACTTGTTTCTTTTAATTGATCCATTTATGCATAAATAAAGAAGTGGGCCCTCCACATGCATGTATTGTGCATAAATAACCAATCAGTAATATTCGGTTAGGTAATTCATTACAACAAATCGGTGCAAATATTATTAATCTATGTAAAATTGTTATGTATTTTACACAACCTTTTTACACAGCCACATAGCATATTTCCTTTCTCCCCCCTCTTTCTCATTCAATTAACCAATCAACCTTATATTAAGTAGGTTTGTAAAAATTATGTGGGATCCAGACCTAACACTCTATATTAAGTAAGTTTGTAAAAATTATGTGGGGTTTAGATCGACATGACACTGATTGATTGTTATTGATGAATATATTTTTACACAAAAGGTATAAAACAATAGCAGGAGTTAAAAATAAATAATCCAAATTTTTTTTGTAAATCTATGATGACACATTAGATTTACACCGATATATATATATATATATATATATATATGTATATATGTACACAACAGTTGGAGATGCTCTTACTGTTATTGTCAAAAGAGTTGGGACGAGAAAATTTAATAATAATAAAACTAAATTCAAAACATTTTTTACAAAAAAAAAAAAAAAAAAAAAGATTTTTTTCTTTTTTAAAAAAGGGTTAATTACAACGACACCCCATGAGGTTTGCCATATTGACAGCCATATATAACTTAGCCATTTTTTGGACAGAGACACCCCATAGGTTTACAAACTTGAACAATGACATCCCATTTTAAAAAAACGGAGCCAAACACAGCCTAAAGTGACATGAAATGTCTAATATGCCCTAAGATATATTTTAATCATCACTTAAAATGACCAAACTACCCCTTATCTCATCTCTCTCTTTCAACAGCTCTCATCTCATCTCTCTCTCACACACACAAACTGCTCCATCGCCCTCCTCTTCTTCCACACCCTCAAACCCCTAATCCGTAAATCAAACCCAATTTTCTCTCTATCTCACACACACAGTATCTCTCAAACCCCCAATCTCAATTCTCGGCCGCCGATTCCATGTCGCAGTTCTTCTCACAGTCGAGCCCTCCACCGGCTGAGCCACCCGCCGTCATCGAGTGATCGAGGAGTTGGGTTTTAGATTCGTGTGATGGGTGACTATCCAGCACGGTTCGGAGAGCACTTTTAGGATGGCGGCCGGCAAGCAAGAGGGAGTGCTCAGCCAGTGGAGAGCTTGACTGTGGATGGCTCAGCTGTGGAGGACTCGCTGCGGCTTGTGAGGGCTTGGCCGGTGAGGGCTCGGCTGTAATGAAAATGGCCTCATCATGTTTGGGGTGTCATTGTTCAAGTTTCATCATGTTTAATTCTAGTGAACTCGGTGTGAAGCATCCTGATGGGTTTATAGAACTCAAAGACAGGTCAAAGGATATTATAATCTCTGGAGGTGAAAACATCAGTAGTGTGGAGATCAAGAATACTATGTACTTGCACCCAACAATTCTAGAGGCATCTGTGGTGGCAAGGCCGGATGAGCAGTGGGGAGAGTCGCCTTGTGCTTTTCTGACATTAAAGCCCGGGGTTGACAAGTCTGATGAACATCAGTTGGCGGAAGATATAATGAAGTTATGCCGGTCAAAGATGCCTGCATATTGGGTTCCAAAATCTGTAGTGTTTGGACCACTGCCAAAAACTGCTACAGGGAAGATACAAAAGCATCTGCTGAAGACCAAGGCAAAGGAGATGGGACCAATTAAGAAGAGTGAGTTAATCTTGAGATGGTATAGAGCAAAATAAAATGAGGCATATATGTGGTGCTTATTTTCCACTTCCTTTTTTTGTTCTTCTTTAGTTTCAAAACGGGGTAAGTGCAAAAAACACCCCTCTAGTTTGAAAAAGTTACAAATAACACCCCTGCCGTTCAAAATTGACCCCTCGAATTTCAAAAAGTTGCAAATAAGGGTTTCTGACCAACATTTTTGACATGTGCCATGCATGTGAGCAAATGTTGGCCTGTAATACCAAAAATACCCTTTTGCACTACCCAAAATGCCCAAAGGGGAAAATTTGCACACTTTTGAAAGTACAGGGGGTTTTTTTGTAAATAATGAAAAATTTTAAAATTCTCTTCTCTTCTAACGGCTCTCTACCTAATTAAATAAATTAAAAATAATTAATTTAATTTTCTCTCTCCTATCTAACAGCTCTTTCTCTCTCTATATAATGTTTACTCTCCCTCTCACACACACACACACTCTCTCTCTAACTTCTCTCTCTCTCTAACTCTTCTCTTTCTCTAACTTCTCTCCCACCATTATATTTCCATTTTCTATTTCTTCCTCCCATTATATTTGCATTTTGGATTTCTTTCTCTGTGTATCTTTCATTCTTTGTGCAGGTTGATGGAAAATGGCTTCATCTTCAAGCTCATGTAGCAAGAAGTCAAGAATGCAAGCATCAAGTCCAACAAAAAATTTGCATTGTGATTGTGGAGTCTTGACTCCATTGAAGACTTCTTGGACCGAAAGAAATCCAGGCAGAAGATTCTATGGGTGTCCAAATTACAAAACAAAGTCATGCAAGTTTTATAGGTGGGAGGATGAAGAATTATTAGAATATTACAAAAGGTTTGTGTTTGATCTCATGTGTGAAGTAAGGAAGTTGAGAAATGAGATAAATGAAAACTACCATGAGGGTCTGAGGCACATAAATGGTGGTAATAGTTGTAATGGTGTTTGTGTAGGTTTTCTTCTCGGTTTTTTTACTTCTATTGCAGTTACTGTAGCAATATTTGCAGTTGTAAAATGAATACTGCAAAATTTATGAATCTGTGAACCTGTGATGCAAAACAATGTTTGTCAACTTTTATTGGATTGTGAACCTGTGATTGAAAATAAGGCACGCAAAAAATTTTACAACTCATATACCAATGTGTGGAGCTGTGCATACACATCACAAAAAATACTGTCATTTAAGTGAGTACACATCACAAATAATGTTGTACTAGACACTGCATGCACAACTACTAGCAGTAAAGTTTCATATACCAATGTGAACTTATGCATACACATCACAAATAATACTGTCATTGAAGTGAGTACAACCACAAAAAGTCATTGAATTGATTAGAACACTACATGCACATGAAGCAAACAGACCACCCATAAGTCCGAAAGTAGCTTTAAGCAAAAGTGCACCAAAAGAGTTGCATCCAAAGTCAGTTCAACCACTGTCCATTGTCCTACAAGTAAAAAATGAATGTATTAGATGTGCAGACATTTATTATAAATAAATTAATGGAATCAAACTTTTTGGGACTGTCCACATACCATAGATTCCTGGGTAGCAAGTGTAGGGTCAATTCCAAGTGTTTCAGATTGGGGCACATAAGTAACCTTCACATGTAATAAAAGTAGACAAACATAAGTATGGTATGCATAGGTATTACACTCATAAATTACACAGTGAAAAAAAAAATAAGAATATATATTACCTCTTGTTGCACAGTTACATGTCCTTTAGCTTTAACTGATCTTGCTCATCCCCCACTGCTACTTTCTCCCACAAACATCCCAGTTCTTTTCAAAGAAGGCCTTCCACCTTTGCCTCTTGGTGGTTTAGGAAGTGCTGCATCATTCTTGCAGCTTCCGACATTGTGCCCTTCCATCTTACACTTTCCACACCTCACTTGAAAGTTCCATTTCCCAAAACCAACCTTTTTAGCTTTGATATCTCTCAGTTCTTCAGCACTTTTTATTCTTTGCTTTATTGGCCTTCCCATTTTTGGTTTTTCTCTCAATGGTGGGAGTATTTGAAGATATCTTTCAATGTTCAGAATTTTTCTCAAACAAAGTGACTTCACAATGTGTGCATATATGTTAAGGTGTGTCTCCATGTGGTAGTAATGACTCACATAGTCTTCAATATTGCCTCTCCTAGAATTGATAACAGCTGTTGCATGTATACAAGGTATACCAGTGACCTCCCAAACCCTATAACTGCATTTTATATTTGCCATATCAACTGCATCATTCTCTCCATTACTGTCAACCTCATATAATTGTGGTCCTGCAGGCTGTACACGACATTTTCTAGATTTCAGCCTCAGTTTATCCACTTCATCCTGCACCTTTGGACGTAAAAGACCATGTTGGTCTTCCATGTATTCTCTCTTATTATTACACCTTTTTAATAAGCACCTCCTTATCATTTCAAACATGTAAATCAATGGTTTGCTCATGGCCTCTAGAATTTGCCTATTCCAAAACTCACACATGTTATTGCTATTTAAATTACACTTTGAGTCCACTATAAAGCCACACTTGGACCATAAATGGTGAGGGATTCTGTTCAGCCACTCAAAAGCATCATTGTTCATCTTCTTAATGTTTGTCATGTGATTCTTGAATACCTCAAGTGTAAATCCATTAGAAGCATTCAAGAATTCAGTTTTCAATCTAAGACATAGAAATTTCTTCCTAAAATTTTCATACATATGTCTAACACAAAACCTATGGTCAGTATTCTCACACAACCTATCTAACACATCAACCGATCCTTTTTGTCTGTCAGAGATAAAAGTTAATTGATAAGGGGGACCAATGATTGCCATCAACTCATTAATAAACCACTGCCAAGTGACTTTTGACTCAACATCCACCACTGCAAAAGCAATTGGGTAATAACTATCATTTGGGTCCCTACCAACAGCACTTAACAACTGTCCTCTATATGGCCCTTTTAAAAAACAACCATCTAGCCCTACAAATGGCCTGCAGCCTGCTTTAAAGCCACTCCACATTGCTTCTAAACAATAAAAAACCCTCAAAAACCTTTCTTTACCCTCCTTGTCAATTTCAGTTTTCACTTTGCATACACTGCCAGGATTTGTCTACATAACAAGCTCACAGTACTCTCTGATTTTCATAAACTGCTCTTCAAAATTACATTTAATCATTTCCAAGGCTTTTGCCTTAGCTCTGCTTACCTTGAATCTAGAAACTTATATCTCAAAATCCTTTTCAATCAAGCCACTTAAACCACAATTCTTCCGAGTTGGGTCCACTCTGAATTGGTTTATGTAGTGCTTGGTTATGTACCTAGATCTTGCTTGTCTATTTGTTTCAGGTGGAATACAGTGGTGTGTACTTCTATATGTCTTGATTTGAAAGCTATTATCACTACTATTCTTTGAAGCATGAATCCTCCAACCACATTTACTAATGCACACAGTAGCAATCCTATTTTTCTCATTTTTCTTAAGCCTGAAATCATACTTGTGTTTTATAACATGGTCCCTCAATGCTACCTTAAAATCATCTGCACATGCAAACTTCATCCCACTTTCTAAGGGTTTAATGCCCAAATCCCTCTCAACAACATATTCAGTAGCCCTAATGTTACTATCAACTTCCTCATCTGATGAGCTATGAACACTCCACAACTTATTACTTGGTGCATATACAGAATCTCCATCTAAGTCTTCTACTTGACCCCATAAAGCTTCAATATGACCATCTAAGTCTTCTGAATGGGAAAAGGATTGGGAAGAGGCATGGGAAGATGAGTGGGAAGGAGAATGAGGTGCAGCTGTAGTTTCATGTGCAGGTGCAGGTGTAGGTGAAACTACTAGTACCTTCACCAATGAAAAATTCTTATACATTGCAAACATATTCAATAGACCATTATCAGAGACTATTAGCACAGGATTTCCATTACTAAGGTCTCTATAATAGACTTCACTTTAGGAATCTAAGTTCAGTAGTGTCAACACATCTTCAATTTCAAAATATGACATGCGATTAGGATCACAATTATCAAATTCATCAACTTTCCCCCCAATATAGTAATAGTGGTCCTTATTAAATTTTTCATCATAATGTATCTCAATTGTATACTTTTTAGACATTATGAACAGCACTTACAAAAATTTAAGCAAACAATACTAATTAACATCAAATTACATGCATGTGCAGACTAACATCAAATTACATGCATATGCAGACAAATTATTTACATGCATGTACAGATAAATTATTTACATGCACTGTAAGGACAAGAAGATACCCAATATATTACATGCATGTGCAGACTAATATCACTGTAAAAACATTAACAAAACCAACCTCAAATGCCAAAAAAAAATATAAAAAATAAAAAATTACACAAGTTCAAGGCAGTTTAACACTTTGTTAGACATGTGGAGCCCAAAACAAGAAAAAAAAGGCAAAAGACCCTCATTTTTATCTCAAACCGTAACCCTATTTTTATAAAACAACTATACAATACACTGCAATAAACATGAAGAAGACAAAGTGGAAGTTATTTAACTATAATCGAAGCAAATAGAGACATGTGGAACCCAAATTCGTTGACAATCGACACAAAACACTAAAGGGGACCACACAGATTCGAATAAAACCCTTTATCGAACAGAAAAATAACAATAACATCACAAAAACTATTGAATCACACAAATACAAACACTATAACATAAATACCCTAACTTTTATCATCATTAAAGAAATCAGAAACGTGAAAACATAAAAACCTTAACCTCATAAACGCATTTTTTCCTTTCAATAGCAGCACTTCGTATTTGATCTCAAACCCTAATAGCCAGAAATTATAGATCGTCCACAATCAAGCCACGAAAATGATTGTGTTTGCTTCGTCTTTGGTGTCTATGTTTGTGAGGGGCTGTGTATGTATGATCGACAATAGAGATGACTGATGGTGTGGCTTGGGTTGAATAACCTTAATTTAGTGTATTTAGCCCAAACGACGTAGTTTTGAGTATGTTATGTTTCATTACCCAAAACGACGTCGTTTTGTTCAATGTCTATTTAGTCATTTCATCTTTTTCAATTTTTTTATTATTATTGAATAAAGATTATTGGGGGGTATTTTCGTATTTTTACCCACCCCTCTGACAAAAAGCCCTTATTTGCAACTTTTTGAAATTCGAGGGGTCAATTTTGAACGGTAGGGATGTTATTTGTAACTTTTTCAAACTAGAGAGGTGTTTTTTGCACTTACCCCGTTTCAAAACCTTACTATTTTGTATAAAACATTTGCTTATGGGTTAATTTACAAACTTCTCTGCATATCAAAGAAGCTTTATCATAATAACATACTATAATGATATAATCAAAAGCAATGGATGAAATCATGAAAGCGAGCAGATTTTCACTTCCAATAGCATTGTACAATAATAGACTTTTGATACATCACTGGAATAAAATAATTCAGATGGGCACCGCAAAAACCAAATTTTTTTAGATGAGGGTAATTTGGTCATTTTACGTGGTCAAAGGGTAAACATGTACTTCCATCATGTTTGGGGTGTCATTGTTCAAGTTTGCAAATTTGGGGGGTGTCTTTGTTCAAAAAACGGCTAAATTGTATATGACTATCAATATGGCAAACCTCAGGAGGTGTCGTTATAATTAACCCTTTAAAAAAATTCCATTCGGATTACCATCTAGATTAATTCTTAAAAATCATCAAAAAAAAAAAAAAATCCAAATGTAAACTCAAAGACTAAAATAGAAAATAAAATAAAATAAAATAAAATAAACAAATTACTATTTCCATCATTGTTAGTATTAAGGGAGTTTAATGGTTTATAAAGTTTTAATAGTTATTTAATGTTTTTTTTTTTTTTTAATGCTAATAAGATCAATTATATACTAGTTCAACTCTGTTATTCATTTGTGATTTGTAAAATTTTTTACTATTACTTATAGAGATCAATATCAAACCCTAGTGAGAAAGAATAAAAAGGTACTAACAAAATTGAGAAAGAGTTTAGAAAGGTAGGAAGCGAGCGAAAAATAAAGGTTAGTAAAAAAACACGAATATCAAAAGCGTTAATTGGAAAAGAGAGAAACAAAAAGATCTTATCATAACCGAAAATGATAGTTGTGATATTTGAGAAATATGATTATTAATTTTTAAAGTTAGAGTTAGATGTGTCATTTCATCTAAAATTATAGTGAAATTGTATAAAAGTAGTCTCCCAAACTTTTAGACTACTTAGACATTAGTTTAGAATGATTATTTAAAAAATAATAATAATAATAACAATAATAATAAAAGAGTAATGTTATCATGAGAGCTCTCATGATGAGCTTTTCTTTTTTAACCAAAGAATTGAAAGATTTGTTAAATGAGTTATTTGACTTTTCGAAATTTCAAAATAATATATTAATTCAGTGGTTGAATAAAGAGAGTTTATGCCTCTTGTCATGAGAGGTCCCTCGTGACAACATTTAAAAAAAAAAAAAAAAAGTAATGATACCCATTTTTCATTTCAAAGGATAAGACTTTAGTCCTGCTTTATCAAGATAGATTGTGTCATGCACACTAATTATCTCAATAAGAGGTTGACACCTCTTTTAAACTTAAAAAAATATAAAACATAGGTTATACCCATTTTTGTGGGTTAAACCCGATAGATTTATTTTTTTTATCTTCATCTACATCTTTCTTTTTCCTTAGCCGCCAATCATTCCAAACCTAATCTTTCCTACTAGGACTTCCACCACTGCTCTTCAGATTGGATTTCGATTTCGATTTCGATTTAGCCTCAGTAAGGATTGATTCATTTTCTTGAAACAAGTATGTTAAAACATTATATTTGTTAATTTGTAGAAATTTTTTTATCTTTCAAATAGCTTAAATCAAGTGAGAGATTTTGTTCAAACTTTGCCGAAATCGAGCTTAATTATGTTAGAATTTTGAGTTTTTTTGGTTTTCAAACTTTCTTTTCTGTTTTTTTTTGCTCTCATTCTTATTTAGGTTCAATTTCCATAAAAAGGAAAAATGTCAAAATTTGTTGATGGTTGATCAGTCAATAGAGATTGCTGATGTGGCAAATAAATTAATAAATAGAATCTGCCATTCACCTGGACATCTTGTGTTTATACCATAACCAGTGTGATGGTTTGAGTTTTATTACCTGTTGTTGTATTAATTTGAGTATATACATTGTACAAATAAGGTAGAAATTGTATAATTGAGTAAAAAAAAAAAAAAAAAAATTAACTTTCATATATAGCATGCATAAAAAATAGTTAAGGTAGATTTTAAAAATGAAGAAATAGAAATAGTTAGTTTAATTCTTATAATTTTTAATCTTAGGAAAATTAAAAATAACAGAAAAAGGTAAAAAAAAAATAATTTTTCATGAGTTAATTAAAAATAATGTTCAAAATTGAGTAAGAAAAAAAATTAGATTTGTCGTTTAACCATAAAATATGGGTATAACCTAAGTTTTGTATTTTTTAAAATTTAAAAAATATATCAATTTCTTATTAGGATATGTTAGTGTACATGATACAATCTATGTTGATGAGACTTGACTGAAGCATTGTCATTTTTCAAATTGAATAGTTTGACCTAATTACTATCAGATGTTTCAAGCGAGTCCAGTAGAAATCCACTTTCTTAAGGGAATTTTATCAAACTACGGGTACATTAATTCATACTATTAGATACCCGGAGTATTAAATATATATATATATATATATATATACACACGAGGACTCGTAACATAACCAATGTCTAGTTGGATTAGGAGTGCCGCATGGTTGATGTCCGACGCATGAGAGAATCGTAGTTGGTGAAAACAATTGATTGCACAGTCAACCTCTATCTCCAATGCATAGGGTCTGAGACTGTTCGGATTCTGTGTTCACAACAATCTTCGTCCGTATTAAACTCTAGAACTAGAATTAGGGTTTTACTTATTCAAAATCAAAGGGTGTGATTGCCAATTCTAATCTTCACAAGAGGTAA